CCATTCATGGGGTGACCAGAGCCCACCTCTTGAGATTGAAACAATATAGGGGTTGAGCTCCGTATCAACTCTTATAGACAGCATCAATCCCTGAATTGCTACATTTCGGGTGGAATTACACTGCTGGGAATTCTTCAGTGCTTTTCTGGTAAAGTGACCGTGCTACATATATAACCAGCTAAATATGCCAGAGGGCCATACTCCTCAGTTGATAGAGACACATTATCTATACTCTGAAAAAAATAAATAGACTTTGAGATTTTTTTGGCATCCACCTTAATTGTCTATAACCTAAAAATCATTTTCTAATACAGATGCTGTCCTCCTTAAACCATCTCTCTCTCTCTCTTGCCAGAGTGCATGCATGGCGAGAAATTTTGGACACGCACAGGGGGGTTCTAATTTATTCTAACGAATAAATTGTTCTACTTTATTCTAACGAATCACAAGTGAAATACACACGATATATCACATTCTAAATACCCTAAAATGCGACAAAAAAAGTTCGAATGTGCCTTAAAACCATGGCAACAAGTCAAGGCTTGGTTGCCTAGCAAATATGGACGATGAAAAACAATTTCAGTTATTTTTTGAAGAGTTTTTTGGAGAAAAAGGTCAGTTTTGATGAAAATATAACGTTGAAATTTGCTGATTTTGAAGCTAAAAACCGCAAGAGATATATATTCTTCACATTTTTGCACTGATGGGTGTTCAAAATCATCGCTCGGAGTTTAGAAAACCGATAGAACATTTTGGTTATCGTGGTCCGATCGCGCGAAAATCTTACAAGTTCAACGGTCAAAACAACTTTCGACGCTATAAATGGTGTTTTTCTATACTTTAATAGCCGTTGGCTATTTCCTGCAAAACCGCAAGAAGTATTAACATCTAAATATCATCCATGATATCAAAATATCAAGTTTTACGTCTAAAAACAGAATAAGATAGAACATTTTCACATTTTTAAAAAGTTTAGAGGTAAGGCCACATTTTTAATATAACCCTAATAAAGCCGTGTGATTTCGCGTGGCCATATTGTTTCGAATATCCCGAAGTCTGTGTATCTACCGCGCGTGCGTGTCCAAAATTTCTCGCTATGCTCATGCTTTACGTATAGAAAAATACAGTATATTCTATACCTTAACACGTGGATCTTGGCTGTGTTCCAGAAATGCAACCAGACGTTCAGGAAGATGAATAAGCATGAGGAATACAATCTTCTTGGCTTTACAGGGGTTGAAATATGCTTCCCAGTTGGCATTTGTATCGCCATAAAACTGTTCCAAGAGCTTATTATGATTTTTTCGCCTTTTAAATTTTCCTAAGATGCTGGTGAGAAACTGGACAAATGAATCACTGGGTTTGAGTTTCAAGACCTCAGCAATATCTTCTTTGCTGTACAAGTTCTCACTCGTTAGGTGTTGGCCAATATCATTGAATTAGTGTTTTAACTTTTACGATGGATACGATTTCCATAGGCTCTTGAGCAGCACGAGAACTTTGGCCTTTCTCAGCCAAGTGCTTATTGTTCTGGTGTCTTGTCATACCACCTTTCGATTTGCACACTTTGCTGCAAAAATTGCAAGGGAACTGCTTTTTGCCCTCAACCTGAAACAAAAAAAAAATCAAAAATTCACACAGAAATATACAATATGAACTTTATCTATGTTTTACCGCGCACAAAATAATTACCTCTTCAAGGGAGTTCTTGACTTCGACTTCGATCTCCGGCGTGCCCATTTCGAGTAAAGCAATCGTCTGTTCAAAGTCAATTTCTTGAATATCGCTACTAACATCTGTTTCTTCCATGTCTGGCAGTGTTAACGTTGCCTTAATAAATTTGGTTATTCTGATGCGAAACCTCTATTCAATGCACTTCCCGAGACAAATGACGATTATTTGTGATGAACTCATGGTCAGTCATTCCATTGATGTAATATGATACAATGATATTCGATACTCCACTGGTATGCACGGGTCAGGATTAACAAAAAGCTTTTCGCGATCAGCAATTCACTCAAAACATGCTCGTAATAAATGCGGACTATGATCAAACTTCGTATTTCCCAAAATATTCGTGAACGGCCGAAAAATGTCATATCTTTAAACCGCTTCTATAAGATTGTATTACAAAAATCGTATTTATTTGTGCACTATAACAGGTCACGTGGAGTACTTCACAACATATTTAGGCAAAGGTCACGTGTCGCTTTCATGTTTACCGGCTTTCCAAACCCTCCCACTATAATACTTATGATTTATCACACAGTAAAAATTTGCGAGGAGTATATTTTATTTTACTAGGGTTACACATTTGTATGTCGATATTTAGTACCATTAGACTAATGCATGTTCATTCTAAAGATTCGTTTTCTATGTATGCTTTGTGATACAGTTCAGCTCATACGTTAGCCTTGATTTTATCGTTTTCATATTATATGTCAACATGTCATTGACACACGAATAATTTCCATACATCAATTTTTATACTATCGAGTTACTCAAAGAGTCAAAGTGTACTTGCGTGGAATATGAGGTGGAATATCGGTTTCAAATTTTGTGCGATGAGGAGATGGGCACATGCTCATAACTGCTCATGAGCAGATGCTCATCTGCTCAATGAGTTATTTCATACCCACTTGAAATTTTTGTTGATAAAATGAAAATGTAGCTATGAACTAGCGGCTGGTTTTAACATTTATTTGTCTTGCAATTAGTTACAGCAATAAATAATAATTTCTTCTAAAACCTTTTTTGCCATTGGACTAAATTTAAAGTCTAATCATCATCATCGTCACAATCTTCACTGTCTTTATTTTCCTCGTCATCTTCAATCTCGTAGTCGCTTAAAAGCCTTTTAATAAGAAACTTTCTCTTATCAACTGCAGCTTCTATTGCTTCTTCTGGGTCAAAATCATCATTTTGAATAAACGCATCTTTTGTGTGCATTATTTTCTTATGTACTGCATCTTTAATTTCTTTAGTTGTCTCATCTACAAAAGGCGCTCTAAATAGATATTTTCTAATTCTTTTCGGTGTCTAGGCATAATATTCAAGTAAGCTTTCTCTTTAGCAGATTGAACTGTTTATTGGGCGTTCTTTCATTTCCTCGAAAGCTGTGTTACTTCTTTGTTTTGCTTCTTCTATTAGTGGTATCCAAGTGATCCATTTCTTCTCCAGAGTCAGTCGTCGTCGAACTTCCAGACTGCTGAGTAGAAGTTGTTGAGATATCGTCACAGAAATCTCTTTCTTGACTGTCCGAGTCTGTTTGAGACATGTTTTCTTCTTGTTCTCGTAATGGACAGTATTCCATTCGTTTCTACGCTGATTGTAACCGCGATTAAAGTATGCAAAATGGGCAACGCATACCCTTAGCACTGGAGGCGTGAAAATACCTTGTTATGGAGCAATAATGCAGTTTTATGAGCAGATGAGCATGTGCTCATGAGCAGTTATGAGCATGTACTCATCTGTTCATCGCATAATATGGCACCCAGTTCATTGAAATTTTTCAGGCCCAATATAATATAATTCATATTGTGCAATTTAAGAAATAATGTCGGTTGCAATTTTTATGCGATGAGCAGATGAGCATGCGCTTATGAGCAGTTATGAGCATGTGCTCATCTGCTCATCTGCTCATCGCATAAAATTTGTAACCCATATTCCACCTCTAATTTAAAATGCAAAAAAACCTTGTTCGGACAATATGTTTAAGATATTTTTAAAATTGTTCTACTTAATTATATTGTTACAAGCGTTAATCCGTGTCTTTATGATCAATTTATGATCCAAGCAACGAAATATTGGTGTTATGGACGACGCGTTGCTTGGAGCATAAAGACACGGATTAACGCTTGTAAGAATATAATTTAGTAGAACAATTTTACAAATATCTTAAACACAATGTCCGGGCAATTTTTTTTGCATTTCAAATTAGAGGTCGAATATCGGTTGCAAGCACATGCTCATAACTGCCCATCGCATAAAAATTTCAACCGACATTATCTTTTAAATTGAACAATATAAATTATATTATATTGGGCCTGAAAAATTTCAATGACCCGGGTGCCATATTATGCCATGAGCAGATGAGCACATGCTCATAACTGCTCATGAGCAAAAATGCTCATCTGCTCATAAAATTGCATTACTGCTCGATAACAAGGCATTTTCACGCCTCCAGTGCTAAGGGCATGAGCTACCAATTTTGCAGAAGATAGCTACTTTAATCGCGGTTATAATCAGCGTATACACGAACGGGAATACTGTCCATCACGAGAACAAGGAAAAAACATGTCTCAAACAGACTCGGACAGTCAAGAAAGAGATTTCCGTGACAATGTCTCAACAACTTCAGCATATCCAATTTCACGAGCACTACGCTAAAATCTTTGTTCCCAAAAGCAGAACAGATGTGTTAAGAGAAGGAAATATTGTTTATATTTCAAGGTCTAAAACCCGGCATTGTCCTGCATGTACAGTATTAATTAGATATATGGCAACTGCATATGTTAAGAAGAATAGCTCCAAAGCACTGTTCCGCCAGGTCACGTTCCATAAAAAGACTAACCCTACTGCTAACCCTGCTTTGAACAACACAGTTTTAACCCAGGTTTAGCTAACCTAGGGTTATTAAGGATTTTAACCCAGGTTTAGCATTAACCCAGGGTTAAACTTAACCTGCTTTTGAACAACCGGCCCCAGAGGCTAAAGACCCAGGCTTGAGTAGCAAGAAGTTTAGATCAATCCTCGATCACTATTCTCTAGAATGATAGATTTCTCGATGTCTATATTGTGCTTATATCAAGGGGGTTGGTAATTTATTTGTATATATTTGTATAGTATAGTGTATTTTGTATCCTATATTAATTTCAAACCGGAAATCTATGTTCAGCGATTATCATAATCAATTTGGGTACTATTGTCTTGCAAATGTGTCTAATAAAAACTGCTAGCTATATCAACTGTAAAGGCATAATATTTGCTGAGATATCTATGGAATAGAGCTCAACAATCGTGAACACTCAAATTTCTACCGGACAGTAACTATAACTGTAAGTCTACTTTATTTTAACCCCTTTATTCAACCTTGTTGTTGATTACTTAATATAGCAAGCTTATGTAAATATGTGAAGTGTTATATGTAGTTGAACCGTTCGAATACGTGCCCTTCCATGGGAAAACATACGTTAACGCTATTTCGTTCGTTGAAAAATATCGTTCGTTATCCGTGTGTTTGCCGTTCAACTCTTCAAGCGTTCGTTGAAACGATTTTCGAGATCGTTCATCGTTTGAAATTGCCCGTTCGAACGCTTGATTAGGAAGAAACGCTCGAAAATTGTCCCAAAAGCGTTCATCCGTTTGATTTACCGTTCGTTGAAACGTTTGCCAAAATTTCGTTTAATCGCGTACGACGAATCTCGTACTCGTATAGTCGTACTCGTAGTCACTGCTAAAGCTCCCTAATTACTGCGTCGGGCACTGCGCGAAGCATTTTGCATGTGTCGAATACAATTGTTTGAATTATCTGCATGCCAGATACAACGTCTGAAACAATTGAATTCGCCGTGCTTAATTGCGGTCGACCGTGATGCTAAATTCGACTGTTTCAGTCGCATTATGCGAGCTCGGTGCGACGTGGCTTCAAATGTCGTATTTTGCATGTATCGAATTCAATTCACTTGAAGAGAAAGTCACTGCATGTTATGATATTGAAAGGCATGCACTCGTATGGAAATATAGAGGCCATAGACAAAAGAATTGAACCAGAACAATCGTATTGTATCACGTGTGATAGAAAGTTGACAAAATACATTTGCCTACCGCGTCTATTTGTAATCGTTGCACAGTACACGAACAAAACGAAGAATCCCAAGGCTGGCAGCTGGCTTGCTGGAAGCGGCTGGGAAGCAGTTGGATATGGCATAAAGTGCAATATATTTAGGCAAGAAGAGGAAATGAGGAAAATGATAGCAAGAAAAGGATTTCTAGAAATATGACATTTTTTATTTACGCCCAAGCGGCTGTCGCTGATCATAAGGAATAGAGCCCGCAACTTTTTGAATTCAGCACATACGAAATGCGACCTTTGATATGACGGTCGGATTATTGTTTTACCTTGGGTCGAATCTAACTAGAATTGTATTCGACACATGCAAAATGCGACGTTTGAAACAGGCCTAAAATTGCCGTCCATGTTTTACTTTTTTTTCTTTTCTCGTGATTTTTATTTTTCGACCCTATCTTCCTGGCTGCGCAGGCCAACTAAGATACATACATATACATGCATACATACATCACTTTATTTAAAACACGCTAGCCCCATTCAACTTTAATAAAATTTTTTTTCCAGGAGGGGCGTGTGAATAATACAAAGAAAATTTTTTAAGACAGTACAATATTTACAAGAATAGTGATAAATATTTGAAAAACTAATGAATTATTTTATATCATAGATTGAATGAGATTCAGCTTGAGATTGCGCGCTTGAACTGCCTAACTGAGGCTGTTTTTTTTGCTTCTGTCGGAAGACTATTCCACATATACTTGACGCACTGTAATTGAAACAGCGTTTTAAAAATTTGGTTCTTGTTTTGGCAATTTTAAATCAGTGTCATAATTTTGCAGTTGAAGTAGCCTTCCAAATCTGGGAGTTTTAAAAAATTATCAGTCATGCCCGGAGCTGAATGTCCATTGAGGACCTTATACAACAAAAAACTCTTCAATTTAGCATGTCTGAAATTAAGAGTGTCTAAATTTAATTTTTGCAATATCATGTCGGGACTAACATCGTAATTTGCACCAGTAATCACTTTAGCCGCACGGTTTTGGAGCACCTGCAATTTACCCTTCAGGACCTTATCACAAGTGTCCCACAAAGGGGAACAGTAATCAAAATACGGCTGAATTAAAGATTTATAAAGTGTCAGAAGAAAATCTAATGGGACAAAAGATTTTATTCTTCTAAAGACACCTATACCAGAACATATTTTTTTACATAGTTCGTCGATATATATATCAAAGGCCAGCTTCTCATCAAGATCAAACCCTAGACATTTGTTGGAGGTGACAGATGTCAGAGTTTTGTTGTTCATAGTGACGCTAGAGCGTAGATTACCAACTTTAGAGTTTAGATTATATCTAGAGCCTATAACCATAAACTTGGTTTTCGAGGAATGAGACTGGAGTTTGTTTACATTTAACCAGTCAGTTATGTTTATCAAGTTCGAACTCCACAGGGTCATATGATGAAGTGAATATTTGCGTATCATCTGCATATAGACAAGGCACTGTCGATTTCAAGCAGTTTGGGAAGTCATTTATGTAGATTAAAAACATCAGAGGCCCAAGTATTGACCCTTGGGGAACCCTGCATATTATTTTTACTTTTTTTGAGAGAAAACCACTAATTTCGCATTGCTGGTATCGGTTTTTTAAATATGATTGAAACCATTGGAGTTCAGCTTCGAAAACCCCATATTATGTCAGTTTCTCAAGCAAAATATCATGATTAACCGAGTCAAAAGCCTTGCGAATATCGAGAAAAACCACTCCTGTCAGCATTCCCCTGCATGTCCATATTTGTAAACCATGTATCACACATTTGAATCAGAGCGGTTAAGGTGGAGTGCCCCGGCTGAAAACAATCAAGCGGCACCTTCCTTTCAAGGGTAAAAACGGCCAGACCGATCCTATTGAATTTCAGTACAAACAAATTCCTTGAGAACATGATTCCAAACTCAGCCTTATTCACGTATATCGTTAGCTACATCTGCCTGGCACCAATAATGCAGTTTTACCCGTATATTCTGAACGAAGTGCTCTATTTACTAGAAACCCTAAGAAAGAAACATTTTTCTAAAGGAATAAATATTGACAGGAAGTAGGGCACAGTTGCATGCAACGATTGACGCGACGAATTCGAAGTTACCGCCAGAATAGGCGTCTTGTTATTATATTGAGCATTACGAGCCATATGCCTTGGGAAGGTGCTAATTAAATTGCATAACTGTCGGAAGTCTCTAAATGTATGAAAACAGACAAAGCCCGGCCGATATTAAAATGAATTGAGAGATTTTGCGTGTTACATATTATCAGGACTGATATTATCTTACTTGTAAACCATATACATTTTATAAAACAACAACGCAGCAATCCCTACCTTGCAGGTAACCTAGTATGAGAGTAATGAAACTAATAAAACCACACAGTGGTCGCACAATGAACATCCTAATATTGCTCACTGTAATTTAGCCTAGCTAGACTTTGATAATGCACAAAACACAAACCATACCATCTGTTGAACATAATAAGAGCCGTGTGAAAAATAACAAACCATGCAACATAAACAATCAAAGCTTAAGTCGTCGTATACAAATTCCGTGTTTTATGAGGTTGCGTTTTAGCGCTATGTTTTAACCAAGTGCGTGCAGTCCTTGCGCACAACTGGCACAAGACCAAACTCCGCAAAGGGCAAGCTGCCGACTTCATGACATACTACAGTGCAACACAGCGTAAGCCTAATGCAATATTTGACGATAATTTATATCTAAAATAAATCAAATTCATTCTATTATTATACGCGTCTTACAAACATTTAGGTTTGACCTCTCGGATATTTCGCTATATATAGTGCTGCATTTGAAAGATCTTCTCTTTTTTCAGTGAGGAATTTCATTAATTCATCAGAAAATTAACATTATATTCCCTTGACGGGAATTGCGGTGCATTATTCGGACTAGAATGATAAGTTTGCCGTCTAAAATATATTTTAGCCCGCTGATCTGAGCCAATCAGAAGAATGACTAAAGTGTATACTCATTGCATAATCTTTAATTTATGCAAAAATTGCCGTTCAAAGTTAATATAATAGTAATACAGTTGATGTTCTTGTACGCTCGGGCTAAAATACGTTCAGAGTTGAGCCAAAAACACATTTATGCCCGCAAACATAAACTCTATTGGTATATTATAATTTATATTTTACAGCTCCTTGGACAACATTAAAATATTCATTAATTTTGATTAGGGCTTCCTTAATTAGGAAATTACATTCCGGATATTAAATTCTATAATCATGCATGATTAAAACTAATATTTAAAACTAATGATTAAAACTATTATTATTATTAAATTATTATTAATAAACTTTATTTACACACGGTATTCTCAATCAGGATTTTCATACTGACAAATGGACGAAACAAGATTATGAATTAAAAAATAGGACTACAAAAATATTTACAATGATAAATCAAACTAATAATTAATATACCTGCTTTTCATAAGAGCCGTGTAGGGAATATATACAAGAAATATAATATAATACAATTGTGCATATAGATTAAATAATTTGGAGCAGCCCGCTTTAAAATTTGATAGGTTATTTGCTAGCCGTAGCCCAATCGGTAGGCTGTTCCATAGCAAGGCACCACTATAACTAAAACTACTCTTGAGATAGTTTGTGCGGGGCTTAGGAACAGCCAGCTTGCTATTTGTGTTTCTCAACGAATAAAGATTGACACTGTCACGGTTTACAAACATGGAATCCATGTATTGTGGAGCAAGTCCATTTAGTGATTTATAAACCATGACAGCCTTTTGAAACTGGCGTTGGGAAGATAACTTTTTCCAGCCAAGTCTATCGAGTAAGATGTCGGCATTAGTGTCATAGCTTGAAAAGGTCAGAACTCTCGCTGCGCGATTTTGTAGTTTTTGAAGTTTATCTGCCAGGGTTTTATTGCAATTGCCCGAAACTGTGCAGCAATAATTGAAATATGGCTGGACAAGGGAATTAAAAATTAAATACAATGTTGCAACTGGGACAAATGAACGAACGAGTTTTAAAGCGCCAATACCAGAAGCAATTTTTTTTGTTAATTCCTTGATCTGTATATTCCAAGATAGATTTTCATCAAGGTGAACTCCTAGAGATTTTGTATGTGAAACCTTGTCTATAGGAATTCCGTCTATTTTAAAACATGGATCTGATTGGAAAGTAGCTATTCTTTTTTGTGAGCCAATTAGCATAAATTCAGTTTTGGATTGATTCAATGTAAGCCTATTGGCGATTAGCCATTTATTAACATTTTCAAGATCTTGATTAAAGTAATAATCTATATCTTCAATTTTGTTGCTAGCAAATGTTAAATTGGTGTCGTCTGCATACATTCGTGCTTTGGAGTGCTCTAGACAATTTGGCAAGTCATTTATATACAATAAAAATATCAATGGTCCCAAAATAGTTCCCTGTGGAATACCACAAAGTAACGTACGGTTGGTAGAAAGATGGCCATTGACATAACATTTTTGACTGCGATTACTTAAATAAGACCTAAACCAGTTGGCCACAGCACCCTCAAGACCATATGCTGTCAGTTTTGACCACAAAATTCCATGGTCAACTGTATCAAAGGCTTTCTTAGGATCCAGGAAAACGACAGCATTGACCAGTCCTTGGTCAATATTGTAGGCCCAGCTATTAGTAGATTCTAGAAGTGCAGTAACAGTTGAATGCAGACGTCAAAATCCAGACTGGTTATCACATAGTAAATTGTTTTCAGTAAGAAAACCGTAAATTTGATCATAAATAATTCGCTGGAAAACTTTCACCACATCCGGTATTATCGAAATTGGGCGATAATTATTTAAGTCTCTACGCTCGCCCTGTTTGAATAATGGAATGACTTTTGAGCATTTCCATTCATCAGGAAAGATACCGGTAATGAAAGAGCAGTTAAAGATTACGGCAAGGGATTCCGAAAGCAAGTCGGGACAATGACGAAGAATCTTGGCAGTTATTTTGTCTAGCCCAATTGCTTTGGACTTACAAGGTTTGTTTAGAAGTGAATAAACTGATGATGGGGTTATTGACTTAAACTATATATTATTGTTACTATTGTGGCAAGTAAGATATTCTAAATACGAGCGATTGTTTTCTTCGTCAGGTATTTTTTCCTTAAGCTTAGGTCCAATAGTAGCAAAATGAGTGTTACACGTCTCAGATAGGTCCGAGGGGTCAGTAATAGAAACCCCGTTTATTTTGATTTCATTAACTCGTGAACTCATCTGTTTTCTTGAGGTCAATTCATTGATGATACCCCAAGTTTTTTTAACATTATTCTCGTTTTCATGAAAAGCGTTCATATAATAGATTTTCTTTACAAGTTTAATTTCATTGTTTACAGAATTTCGAGCTTTCTTGAAAACAGTCCAATCACAAATATCTTTGGATCGAATAGCTTTTATTTTCAAAACAACTCTTTCATGCGAGCATTTGCCTTTTTAATTCAGGCGTGATCCACGGCGCCTTAGAAGATCTTACTCGCCTAGTTCGTAAAGGGGCATGCTTTTCCACTACGTTGTTAAAGGTCGTTTTCCATATACGCCGCATATCATTCGGATTATTATAAATCCTTATAACATCCCAATTCTGTAAAGAAATATCTCGTTGAAAATATTCAGAGTTGAAATTTTTAAGTTTTCTATAACTTATTGTAGAATGGCCTTTGTTGCGTGGACTGATAGAAAGCTTATGGAATGCGTAAATTAAGCTATGATCACTGATACCGACATGAGAAGCACCAGAGGAAACAATATTATCTGGTGTATTGGTAAAGATATGATCGATCATACTTGATGAAGTTTCGGTAATTCGAGTTGGTTTATTTATTAATTGATGTAAACCATAGAGTTCAGTGATGCCAATTAAAGATCTTGAATTCCAGTCTAAAGTAGGCGATCCAAGGTCACAATTTAGGTTGCCCAATAGGTAATACTCGACATTTTCTGCGTCAAGCATATCAATAAACGTTTCGAAGTGATTAAATTTATCAGTATTTGAATTAGGTGGTCTATACCATGTTGTAACGAGAAAGGGCTTAGAATTTGGTTTTTGAATTTGAATACATAAATTTTCCAAGTCATCGATAAACAGGTCTTTGCGGAGTATAAAATTTACGTAGGAGCGTACATAAAAACAAACACCTCCATACGTTTTTCCATCAGCATTACTACATGCTCTGTCCCGACGTATAATTTCATATCCAGGTATGTGAACATCGTTATCGTAGAATTAAGCGATGTCTCGTTAATTGCTAGAACATCGATTGGGCTAGTAGCAAGCAAAACTCGCAGCTCATCAATGTGATTTACTATGCTTCTCACATTAAGGGCTGCTAACTTAAACCCGCGTGAGGTAGGAATAACAGATTTGGGAAATTGTCAATCTAAGATAGATTTAGCAAAATCTAAAAAGTTTTGTTGTAAAGCTAACCTACCTTGTCCATTTAGATGAAGGCCCTTCATGTTTAGGTGGCTTTCATTCATATTTGAATTACTTAAGAAGGGAATTTTTTTGCGAATACAATAGCCTTTAAGAATGTTATTAACCTGAGTAGCTTTAACAGTTAAGTCATGATTATCAGACCTTACCAGAATGGCTGATATTCCAACATCTGTACCTGGTGAATCTTCTTTTACTTGCGTTACAATGTTGACGATAGAGTCAGCTATTACTTTTGGCGTGCAATGACTTAGGTCGTTTGTTCCAACTTGTAAAATCATCTTGTCCGGTGTTCTTCTTGTTAGTGGCTTGACAAAGTCCTCCATGTCTGTGACTGTTGCTCCAGGGAACAGCTTTACAATAAAATAATGATTAGGATCTTCAGCATTCATCTTCGGACCGATAATATTTTTAATAATTGAGTCTCCTGCAATAACAACTGATTGTTTCTGGCCCTGTCTCGTTGTTTCAATGTTGGAGGTATTTGCAATCCTGCCAGAGCCAGAGGTATTTGCATCCGGAGCATTTAGTTGACTGGTATTTTGAGCTGATGGTTTAGACTTAGTTTTCATTCTCTTCTTTTTACTCTTTTTTGTAAGACTTTCTTTGGCGTTGGGCTGACTATAGATTACCGGCTGATCAGATTCATGATTCAGTTGAGTGACTTCATTATTATGTATGATTTCTCAGGCCTTTTCAATATTAATTTCTCCGTCTTTTGAAATCACAGTGGTAGTCATTGACGTTTGTTGAGAGTCATTTTGAAATAGCTTAAGAGCAGTGAAAAGGCTGCTCTTTTCGTTTTCCAATTTCTTATTTGCCATTTTCAAATCAGTTATAGAACAGGACATGTTAATATTTTGTGCCCTAAGGTCATCATTCATTCTGATCAGCTCAAGCTTGTCTTTCTTTAGGTCATTAACTACGTTTTCCAAAACCAGAATAGAGTAGGGTTTACTTTCTATAATATTGTTTATCTCAACTGTAATATCCTGTAATTTGTTTGCCACGTTTTCGGAAAATCTCTCGACTCGGAGTCGCAGTTATAGCTGGAGTTGCTTCCCAAGGGATATGCCAATTTGTTAAGTTTGTATGGATACCGATTGGGCTTTCATGCAAATTTTTTGACTTCGCATTCAACTCATCATACTTTGCACCGAATTCAGAATCTATTTTCGCTTGATTTTCGTCTTGGTTTTCCAATTTCTTTTCAACATCAGGTTGATAACTAAACGAATGTTCATGAGCATCATCATTGATATCAGTCAGGTTCGACAGCTAGCAAATTTTCAATTGATTGATTTAGATGTAGTTCGGCATGGCTATCGATTTCAGAAGCACTGTCAAGATCTTGATTTAAAAGCGAATGTATTCTTGCCGTTAGGTTACTAACTTTCTCACCACCAATGTTTATATTTTGGCTTTTTGTTAGCCAAGTAACCGATAACAGCTTACTTTCAAATAACCATTTACCGCCACTGGGGGAACGCTATGTTGTTGCTTCGGCAGTCTCCTCGTCAATTTCGGATAGTACAAGCGCTTTCAGGGTTTCAAGAGATCCCGTCCAAATCGGTTTACTTTTCTTAATGTTAAAAGAACTGTATAACACGTTTAAAACAGTTGAGGAATTCATTTTAACTCAACAGAATTTGAGAAACAACAGAGCTCCAAAATACACGTCCGCCTCCGTCAGTATGTATAGTCAAGGCTCCAATTTCCTTCCATCTCAAAACGTCCCTCGGCCTTCAGCCTTGGGCTGTTTTTGAGACCTCGGGAAATTTTTCCCTATACGAACCTCTAAACTGGTAAATAACATATATAGATTTTGCGTCAATCATATCACGCGCATCAAGCCTTCAGACTAATTCGTTAAACGTTCATAAACGTAAATCGTTCGAACGCTTCTCATTGAACGTTTATTATCCGTTCGTATTCTCGACTTAAAACGTTCAGATTTTTATAGCGGAATTCGTCAAAACGTTTTTTAGATGCGTTGAAACGTTATGACAGATCGTTCTCTAACCGTTCGTTATCCGTTCGTTTTGCCGTTTTAACGAAATATCGTTAACGTATGTTTTCCGTGGAAGGTCACATAAATACTGTCGTGGGTAGATATATAACCAAATAAAATTATATATACTTGTAGTAATACCGCATTTTTATTTTCTCAAATATTAGAATGGGATTGTAACAACTACGAGTTCAAGCTTGTTGTCCGGATTTGGATTGAGAGTTTGCATCGTGTAAACGAACGGCCTCTTGAAAATCAGGTGCGTAAGGGCCATGAATAGCCACCGTTCTAAAATATTAATAAATAATAATAAGTATAGGTAATAGTATAATTTCGAGTGCAATTACGGATTAACAAGCACGAGTGAGTTTTTAAAGGCTGCAAAATAGCGCAAATCCGAAGGACGGGCGTTATTTGCAGTCTTTAAAAACTCACGGAAATCTTCGAGAATATATTTGTAACAGGATTTCGCACTGTTGTTACAGAAATTTGCACTGTTGTTACAGAAATTTGCACTGTTACACATTTTTGCACTACTGTTTGGGATTAACTGCACAGAATTCAACCAATCGAGAAAAATTTCCTTGTATATAATAATAATAATAATAATAATAATAATAATTTATTGTTGAATCGGTGAAAATTATTACACTTTTGTAGCTTCGAAGTTCGCTCCACTTCGGCCAATTTTTGGCCTGCCCGAGTTTCTCTTGTTGCGGTTTGAACTTGTTCGTGTGTTTCAGTGCTTACAAACGTTTCTCTTAATTGTCATTTTACAAGGGAATTCCGAGTGGGAAATTCGACTTTAAACATGTTTTGCACTTCGGTTACGCTTTGGGTTAACTTTCATATAACTATAGCTTTGATAACGATAAATACTCGCTGCTCGGTTGTCAGTTGAACATTTTAAGACATTCTTACTAGAACTTGTAGTCAATTTGTAATTTGAAATTTTTATGTTGCTGTTCAGTATTTTAAATTTCCATAGGTATAATAAGGCGCGTTCAACAAACTACGAGTGCATGGTTTGTATAGAGGGGGGATATTTTTTGGGACACCCTGTATTACAATTGTAATGTAATACAAATGCTCTCTATCCTATATGTTTACTTTATACTATATGTGTCCCTCTGTGCCTCTAATTATTTGCTTACTGGTCACTTTGTCCCTTTGGGACACCACGCCCAAAACACGTAGGCTAGAGAAGTGTCACGACTGCAGAATATTACACAGAAACAGAGACATCTAAGCACCCCGCCCGCAACTAAGCTTTGTTAACTACAGACAACTTCCCATCTTTCGCTACCCAGGATCCTTCTATACAGCGGTTAGGTGCTGTCTTCCACGCTACAAACAACCTTCCTGGATTCCCCTTAGCTTTTCCACAATCTATTCTTACTGCGAGTTTCACCAAACAATACCATAATGGCTCTCTCCTCCGCGGAGGCTGTGAATGCAAATGCACTAGGTTTTTAAAGATGACCGCTGCTGCTGAAATTAGAAACGCGGGCGAGGGTTAGGGAGAGAGAAAATTGAGGAATCGAGGAAGCCTCTGCCAGATTTGCTTCGAAAAGCAGCACAAGAACTCGAAAAGTAGTACATCCTTAAATGTTGTTGCCATCCGTAACAACAGGACAATATATCAGGACAATTTATGATAACTGTAGAGAAAAGACTTTCGATGAGAGCTGCTTTAAGCGCACGAATGGCCGGTGCGAGGGATTTTATTCGCGAGTGTGATGTTGTTGTTCGAGTCAAATGACAATAGCAGTTTCTCATTAACTGCGATTGCGAATTTTCCTGAGTAAACGGCGAGCGCTTTCGAATCAAAAGTTCAATAATACAATTAATGATATCCATATAAAGAATGACATTCAGAATGGAAGATACATAGTTCGTATTTTAAGAGAAATTACGAAAAGTATTTCGTTGACCGCAATACGACGTGTTTTATATTTTAGCCATGCAGCTTCTGCGAATTTTCTGGACTTCGTGCTTGGGTCAAATAAACTCAAAATATCCTTAAAGAATGCCTAATGCATTGATCAGGAATGACCAGCAAAGAAAATCTATTGCATGGAAAGTAGCGGAGTTATTTCCACATTTGGTTGCGTATTTGCATGCTTGCTTTGTCACCATGCTTGGCGTTCGTGTGTCTCGTCAAGCCTGCTTTCGACTTGCAGATTTTTTCGCATTTCATGCAAGGAAATGCCTTTTCGCCTGCTATAACACTCGCTGCGTCTTCGAATTCATATTCTACAGCTTCCTCATCTTCCTCTACAACAAACATAGCTACATCGAAGTTAAATTCATCGTAATGCTCATAAAGTACATCTTCGACGTCTTGCTCGAGAGACGGCAACTCCTCATCGGCATCAATCGATCTGATTTCCTCGTCTAATTCTTCGGGTATCGACACAATTGCATCTAAATCTTCATCCATAGCTCTCGCGTTCTCTAATTTTAAAAAATCGACAGAATTAAATGCAATACCACGCAATAATTTGTCGATAAAAGACGAAAACAAAGCCAGCTGTAATATAATCTGTATATAATTACTTCACTTCCATGCACTAAACACTGTCACGTGACATTATTCCCTTTGAACCTCAACATATTTTGCCGCCGGCGATGAATCCCTTTGAAGTATGCCGGCTAGCAAAACCATCTCAGTATATTAACTGTGGCAGGAGAGAGCCATAATGGTAAAGTATAACTTAATGGGCCTTTAGATAGCATTAAACTAATCCATTCAGTGAATTAGGTTCACTTGATATAAAAGGCAGGAAAAACAGTATTTTTTCACGTGATTGCCACAAATATGCCAAATTGGTCCACCAATTATGGTAACCCAATTACCACATAATTGCATGGTTTACCAATTATGCCTTATAGACATGCATGCAGACGTGTATTATTGAGCTCCGTTTACAGTAAACTAAACTAAATACTAAAGCGAGAAAGTAAGAAATATAGTGTTGTTAAGAACACTCTTAAGTGGCAACTTCAACAGAACAGAACCGAACACGAATTTATGCTTTGCATGGACTTGGTTCCTGGTTCCACCCTGGAGGAGAGAAAAACTCTTCAGTTCAGAAAATGTATCTATATCCTGGCGAAAGAATACGAATTCGTAGTGTATAACCGGGGTCAAGGCAAGCGAGATTCATGTGTGATTTGTTGTCAACATTCCGTGCAAGATCGCAAGCAGCAATCGAGCGATATGTCCGATGTTAGGGAAGCTATCGAGAGCCTTATACTTGACCAGTCAGTAAACAATGAAGCGGTCCGAGCATTGGCAGACTCAATCTGGCATATCTCATCCGTGGATCTAGTTTAAAGGAGAACAAGATTGGAGCAGAGCTCGATCGAGACGAATCTGTAACGACAAAGGCAGCTTGGACTGCGAACATGCAGAAACAACGAAGTCAATCAAAATTTAGTTTCTGAAACAATACGGTACTTACTTCTTCTAAAAACAAGGAGATTGTTAACCAGCTATTTTCAAATGATCGTTTTGGAATTGACGTTGATGATACTTTAATATCAAACCAATTAAACAATCTCGTAAACAATGAAGTAAAAAACATTAGCCAGCTGGATAAATCTAATGGGGCTCAATCAAACATGACTGACGAGACGCACATTGATAGTGATGTACATGTTGGCTGTGATGAAGGTGAACTATACCCTAACAGTAATGCCATTAAAGTACCTATATCACTTGTGGGATCTTTACGGATTTTAATAGAGCTTGAAAAATATCATTAGTTTATAAGTTCTACGACCCTTTTTGATATAGTTAAATAGTTTCGGAAATATTTACATGTAAACATGACGATTTGCCTAAATTTCCGCCGTGCTCGGGGACCTGGGACTCAGGAACCGAGTTCTTGTCAAACATAATATAAACAATTGTAATTTTACTTTGATCTTCCAATAACGTAAAGTATTTTGAGAAAAACTCGCCCAGTTGCTACAGCTATACACAACCCAATGTTCCTGCATTTTTTTCTTGTTTCGATTATAAGTCAAAGAACACAATCCGCTAAAATCTATAATTTTATATTATTCTCAAGCTGTCTCAAGTTCAATCTTAGGGGTTCTGGTCAAAGTTCGTTAAATGTAGTGTGTGGCAATCAGAAATCCCATTGAGACTAAATATCAGAAATCCCATTGAGATTAAAAATAAAATTACCGAAGTGATTTCTAAAACATGATTAAACAGCTTGTTTGTGATTCCTTATTTATTTTGCCCTTTGGCTTATTCCATCTTAAGGAAGGACAGATTGAGTCGTCGAGGGGGCGGAATAGCAATTATATGCCAAAATGACTGGAAAATGGAGTTACAACCAAATTAAAAAAATGATTTTGAATGCGTTAAAACGTTTTAACATTTGTTTACTATAATTATGGCGATTTGTTGAAAAGGTCCAAAGGACGGAACTAGTACTTTTAATCGCCTTACCTTTTATCTTTTTATCTTTTTATTGTACATAGTGTCGAAAGTTAACAAATAAACACTTTTTTCTTTTTATCTATCTATCTAAGACGGTCGAAGATAAAGAGAGTTTCCCCCCCCTCGGCTGCGAAACTTTTCCCACGCCGCACTTTGGTTTCGCTGAAATTTATTTTATCTCCGTACTGAAACCATACTTCAGCTAAGGTGTTGTGCAGTGGAGCGAACAGTGAGAATATATTGATTTATTTTTTTAGAAATCAGCAGCGCGCGGAATCCTGGCCTTTCCTGCAATCTTATTAATTGGCTGCAGCAGCGGGCGAAATTTTACGATCTGACCACGATCTGGTCCTATATCTTATGCTCGAGCGAAAGCGTGTTTGTTTTGTTTTTCTAAAGATTTAATCGCAAACTTTTGACTTCTTTATTTTAAATATATGACCGAATAGTTAACATATGGACCAAATAATTATCATATATGGACCAAATAATTATCGTGATAAATATATTGACCAAATAATTATCACGATAAATTGAAGTGAATTTTAGTGAATTAAACGAATGCGGTTTTGATTGTTTATGTTTTTGTCGCCACTGCTGAGTCTGACTACACAATTATAATTCGAACGAACTCCGATTTTTGTAAAAAAATAGATACGTTATTTACCGTTTTGTTCGACCCGACTGATAAAATTTTTGATTCCTCCAGGGAAATATTTTCCTATCCGGACCTCGCCGGCTGTAAATACTCTAATTCAATATATCCTAAAGAGACAAAGGGTTGACATAAAAAAGATAATACTGATTACATACAGCATTAAATGGAGTTTTTAATGACATACCTCATAAAAAAATAATGTTTCTTCCCGAACAAACCTCAAATCCTTTATTTAGTGCGATTGTACTGATAACTTTATATGAGTGAATAGCGGGATTGACAGAATTTTCGCTCGTTTGTACCTGAACGAGAAAAGTTTAAGACACATATTGCAGATAAATTTGTTTAAGTTTTTAGTCGTGCTGCATGCGATTTTGTAACAGTATAATCATGCCATCATAACATACTTAGCAGACGTCAGTTTAATAAAAAGACAATTTATATTAAATGTACGTTGTTTTATGCTTGCTTGGGAACATTGAAATGTTCGCCTATCGGAAATATAATAAAACGTACTGTAGCCATACAGTTCAGTTTTCAATTATTAACTTCCCGCGTTCAGCCCGTTGTAGACCTACTTAAGAGATAATGCAGCTGTTATGGAGATAGAAATTGTTATCGGAGGAAGTAAATTAGTTTGTTTTCTCACCTGATGCATGCATGCATTCGAGTCACATATCACTCGCGCAATCTCTAAATAAAGAGTTCGTAAACGATTCAAAGCGAACATCGCAGACTATCGTCGCGTTTGCCGCGACGTTTGAAGGTAATACAAAAGTTATATCCGGGAGCATACTGACACAACAGGTATGCAAACAATGACTGAAGTAGTACATTTTATTGTATATAGGCTATTTTAAATATAATAATCCGTCAATTGATCCCAAATTTTTTCTAAGTGTTTAACACTTCTTAATGTTTAATTCGGTGTCGCTTATGTGATTTTTAAACATATTTTTTGCACTTTTTTATATCATAACTTGCTATAAACCGCCTAGCAAGCACAACTCGCTCCATGTAAACAAGCCTCAAGTATACTCCGTTTAATACGTCGTTTTCATGCTTGCACACAATCATGCGTTATAGTCCATATTTCTGTTCATCTATTTTCCTCGTAGTCAAATTCTCTGCTGGCCAAAGGTCAGAATCTTGTTGGTTTTATTCCGCATGATGCGAAGCAGGAGTAGAAGAATACAGTTAAATCCATAAAAAATGCAAGACTGGCAGATGATCATCAATAAAAATGAATGACAAAATTCTGTAGCTGGCATGTGTACTATAATTTGCATTTGCCATAAATAATGGCAATTCAAGTAACCGTTATCCCATACTATTTTTAGCCCGACCGGTAAAATATATCTTAACAGAATTATGTTGGTCAAAGATTTGCCCTTGCTCTTTCAACAAGCTTTTAAATCAATTACCACTTTTATACGAGAATTTTTATTTGAATAGGTAAAGACGAGTAATAATCATAATGCGTTTTTACTTGGTTTTTTAAATCACTCCATCAAGTGTTGATAAAATCTTTCTAAAAAAATTATGTGACAGAAAATGAAGTGAAGATTAACATACTGTAGGTCTATAATGCCTGGATAATGACAACAGAATTATTATGACCAATTATATGCTGTGAAATATGACAAGTTCATTCAAATTTTACTTTAATTTCAGAACTCGAGTAGCAGAGATTTAGACTCCCGGGCTGCGCTATGGATGCCACTCCATCCAGTTATCAGGCGAGTTCAAACGCTGCGTCCCCGAATAAAGTTATAACAAAGAAGGATCGACGAGCACAGTTGGTGAAGCTATTCATCGTGGCGTTTGTTTCTATTGGAACAGTTGCTCTCACTATATTCGATGTGATTCAAACAGCTAAATCTCTAGAGAAGAAAATTGAGCTGACAGATAAAATTCACGCGAGCATCGATGCAGCCATGTTAATTCATAATTTGCAAAAAGAGAGAGGAATGACCGCATTATACTCCACTCAGAGTCTGTTGAACTCCGACGGACATAAGCTACGGCAATTTCGGAAGAATACAGATGAAGCTATTGTTAACTTGAAGACGAGATATGGTGGAAGCCTGGATAAACTATCGGACGGTCGAGAGCCATTTGTGAACATTTTAAAAGAGGCTAGGCGTATAATCGACGAAGGAGGAGCATCAATCCTTGAAACTTTGCAGAAATACCGAAAATGGATTGATGAGCTTATTTTCACGCTCACAGAATATTTGAGGACGGAAAATACGGATGGATACGCGCACTTGGTTTACGCATACGAGCTGTTAATCATGAGCAAAGAAGAAGCTGGGATGGAACGAGCACTTGGTGGTTTGAGATTTATAGAAGGAAAAAATTTCAGCCATGCAAACACAACATGGTACATACAGAAAAGCACACTTGCCCAACAATACCTCAAGATCGGTTTCCTATTTTCGAACGAAATGAAGGACATGCATTCCTCTATATTCGCTAACAGTTCGTATTTGATGAAAAAAATTGAAAGAAAAAGAAAACTCTTATTCAGTGAGTTTCACCCAGAAGCTTCTAAAGAGGATGGTCTCGAATGGTTTGATTTGATGACAAAATACAATAACTTGTTGTTGGAATTACAGAGGCAGCAAGCTGACATGATTAGCACAATGGTTGATAAGACAGTTGATGAAAATGCAAATCAACTCGTCATCCGGTCGATGCTTTTGTGTTTTACCTTGATTATTGTGCCATGTATTATTATATCGTTAGGAATGGTCCAGAAACGTTTCTATGAATACACATTGTCATTGTTTGATAAAGTTGGTCTAGAACAAGCGAGAACGGACTTTTTAATGAGAGAAAATTCAAGACACATTGAAAGTAAGTTGCTTTATGTAATACATTTATTAAAAGGCTGCTATGAACAGTAATTTAAATAACTTGAACGCCAGGCTATGCGTCAGGGTTTCCATTTCTAAGGAAATTTTCTTAGAAAAGTGCTATGGGAAGGGGGATCATTATTAATTGCATATAATTATACATTCTTTTAAAAATCTTTGTTTCTGCTCACCATCCCTGTGCGAGGAAGTAATATGCAAATAAATTATGGAAACCCTGCTCGAATTATGGATGGGGAGTGAAATGTTCATATATTCATGTTCAAATAAGCGTAAAAACAATCCCTATAAAGATAAATCTTTCAGGCATAAGACGAGTGTATGAATATTTGCCCCCCTATGCAATTAGGCTTATAATGGGAAATAATTAAAAACTTTTCCTAACAATTGAAATTTTAGATTTGTCACAAAAGTGGAGGGATTTTTCCAATCATAACCATGGCGCTAGTTATAGCAACAGAGTTGCTCGCAAAGCTGTTGAAAATGGTAGCCAGTGAAAAAAAAATGTCGAAGAAATGAAAAAAACTTCTTGTGGGTTAATTGTTCGAAATAACAAGTGTTTTTAAGCAGTCGCGGTTCAACTATGTATAATCAATATATTAGGGCTTTGAATTCCAAGAATTAATGGTGCATGTGAACTCTCAGCGCCTGGTGATTGCGTATTACCAGCAGACAGGTTAAATGATTTGAAGTAAAAGCATACATACCATTAACCAATAACAGCCTGTCTCCATGTATTTAGATAATTATAGTCTCTATGTATTTAGATATACGACTACATTTGCCTTGTAAATTGCAAAACGCGAACCGTCCAACTAAATTTCTTTATGTCACGATTACAGGGGCGTAGAAAGTATCTCAAATTTGGTGTGGACACGATTCCTGGAGCACTTCTAAAAAGGCTGCTAAAATATCAGCATGGTAGTTTGAATGTCCGATATTAGTTTGGCTCAATGAAATTTGCATACCTCTTCCGCAGCTCAGTTTTCTGAGTAACAATAATGACACATTAAGTATTACGCCGTTTTGGAATAATTTTGGCTAGAGGTAATGGTTCTCCCAGCCGGTTTATCTGTATAAAACAAAACGATATTTATAGATATATTCATTTAAAATTCCAAATATTTATATGCTCAGAAAAGGGTGGATGCAAATTACTGCTAAAACCACAAAGCAAAGCAAATTGACCCAACCCAAGGATAAGGTATGCATGCATGCAGGAAATTTTGTAATACCTTAATATACAGGGTGTATAAAAAAAATGTCCCAAAAGTAAAATTTCCATTTTTCAGGATATTTGCAGAATTTGGCAAATTTTTATGTTCCTAGAGATAGTTAAGACTTATCTGGTATACCTAGGGCAAGTTTGTTTCATTAGCAAAATTATGTTACTGGTAGGGGGGGGGGGGTGGTTCCTATCCACTGATATTGAGAGGGCTTGCGCGCGAAAATGTGTAGCTGGAATTGAGATATTATTTAATTGTCTAAAAGTAGGAAAGGTTTTTAATAAACTGTCAAAGTTTCAGGAAAAATAATGAATACTGGGAGCACCGCGCGACGCCTAAAGCTGACGAATATTTCATTGCGTGCAGTGGATTAGATGCATCGTTGATTTTAGCGTGACCGATACCACGCAAGGATGGGAAAATGAATAAATTAAAGCGAGAAACTGAAGAAAATGATGAAGCGATTTAATAACAAGATTTTTATTCGTGACGTTCAACCATTTCTTTCTAAAGCAAACTGCGGCTCGTCTGAGCATGGTAAACACTGAACGGCGAACCATTTGTTTGTGCTGCCTAAAATTCTCCATTTCGTTCGAAATTCTTTCTTGCAAATCGCCTACGTTACCACCTGCAAGTCTAGGGGGATGGACAAACAAACGGTTCGCTGTTCAGTGTTTACTATGCTCAGACGAGCCGCAGTTTGCTTAGAAAGAAATGGTGGACATGCTGAGGATTAACATCACGAATCAATCGCTTTGTTTTTGTGTTCAGTTTCTCGCTTTAATTTATTCATTTGCCAATCCTTGCATGCATAACAGAATGAGATCGGTCACGCTAAAATCAACAATGCGTTTAATCCACTGCGCGCATGCAATGAGAAATTCATCACCTTTAGTGGTTGCGCGGTGCTATTAGTACGCATTATTTTCCCTGAAACTTTGACAGTTTATTAAAAACCTTTCCTACTTTTAGATAGTGAAATAATATCTCAATTTTAGCTTCACATTTGCGCGCGCAAGCCCTCTTAACATCAATGGATAGGAGCCATCCCCCCGTGATGTAATTTCGTTAACGAAAAAGCAAACTTACCCTAGGTATACCAAATAGATCTCAACTATCCCTCGGGAGAAAAAAATTCAAAAATTCTGCAAAATATCCTAAAAAACGGAAATTTTACATTTGGGACATTTTTTTATACACCCTGTATAATCCGCGATAGGCGTGACCGTAAAAACAATCACAAGTAGAAAGACACTTGCACATTCCATCGAAAAGTAAGGATTATCACCCTTGCAGATAATCTACGCTAAGCCGATATTAGATTAATTAAGAGAGTCACAACATTGCCGCGCCAAGAAGAAGCTCATGCTTTCCATCAAGCTGCTTTAACCACCTTATTATAATTAATAATAATAATTATAGATTTTTTAAATAAATAAAATTGCACTGAAGTGAAATGCTTTACGTTTACAAGTATTGTAACTCTATTAAAAACAAATAATTATATGGTAACAGGCTAATTTAAATACGCTACTTGTCTCCTGGATGCATGCATAAAATATTACAACAAGTTATAACGATTATAAATGACTACATTTTGTTAAAATATTGACTATATAAATTTACTGTATAATTATATTGTTAGAATATTCGGGTTAACCCTGGAAAGAAACTGCGTTTAAATCGGTTAATTCGTACTCCGTACTACTACATTTAAAAATAGAAAAACTATCAGAGTTGCGGAGTAATGGACCATGTGATGGACCAAACCAATCTGAAAATTATAGCGCATTACAAACAATATTGCCCTGCTGTGATACTTACTGTAAAGTGTAAGCGGCATTAAGCACATATATTTGGCATGCAGCATAGCTTGGAGCAATACTAGCTTATGCTGTAACAGTATATGAATATCATTCGATCTTACAAATTGATAGTCTACGCATAGACGGAAAATGGCGGAAATACCGTCTATGTAATAGCGGCAAATTCCGTGTTCTATAATTATTTATCCCCAGAATCTGGGGGACGCTGTGTGATTGGCTACATATTTAATTACGAAGCCTGATTGGTTACTCACGATCAACAAAGCTTTGCATTGATTGGTTTAGAGTGGAATAATAAAAATATATTTCGTGGGTATATAATTATATAATAAATAATCAGACTGAAACAATCACAAGAAAACAAGATGTCGAAATTCAGCGAAGAATTATGGCAATGTGCCTTCAACGCGGTAAAAGAACTATTTAATTTGGAAGATTTACGTCAAGAACAAGTCGAAGGAATAAAAGCACTTTTGAGACTTCGTCCCACGTTTTTGTAAACCTGCCCACAGTAAACCTATTATTTACCAAAGTCTGCCACTCTTTATTTGAAATACTTTATTTAAAGTGGTTTCAACACTTAGCCTCAAGGCTACTTTACAGAATGTCCACTAATAAATAATTAATGATATATACTATCTAGGTTAAAATATTCTATATGTTATGAAATACAAGGTTCTATATAATAATATGCTGTATATGGTAAAATTAGTACTAATTATAAAATATCCCCTCCCTCCAAAACAAGTCAAAAATCTATTGTCTTAACTGCCGAATCAAATTGCTTAGACCCAGCCAATTCTCTTATCTGTTCTGGAAGTGCGTTCCACTGCTTAGCTGCATAATATTTAAATGATTTTAGACCGTATTTTGTGCTGCTGACTTTTGGTATAGAGAGCATATTACAGCCACGTAGGTTGTATTTACTGTTCCTTAGTTCAAATAAATTCCTAATAGACATCGGCGCGCGATTCTGAAAACATCGGTTTATGGTGATCATCATTATTATTTTGAACACGGCGACTTTCTAATGTGTTATCGAGTCCAATCCATTCCAACAGTTTAATGTATGGAGTTTCTTTATCCTTATATACATATCTTAAAGCTCGTTCATTTGCCCATTCAAGTTTCTTTGTATTTCTAGCTCCACAATGGTGCCATACTTGACTGCAATAATAAAAGTGTGGTAATATAAAGGCACGATACAAGGCTTCCTTAGTTTTGCACGGTAGAATGTTCTTTAGCCTGTTGAGGGCATTTATTTGAGCACCAACCTTGCGGCATATATATCCCACATATAGTAACTCCTAACAGTTTCTTCTCTTTTGAAATTGGAATAGAATTTCCTGCGCATTTAATATCCATTTCATACTCTGTGTTCCCTAATACCAGAGCCTGGTATTTCTCTGGATTTACCAACATACCATTTTGCTGAAACCACTGTATTGTGTTTTCCAGATCTCGATTTATTCCCTCTTCCACAAGCTGAGGATTATTATGAGATAAATAAATCTCAATATCATCCGCATAGCCCAGCAACTCACTTTCCCTGATCGCATAAGCTAAATCGTTCATAAAAAACATTAAACAGCATAGGCCCCAAGATACTGCCTTGTGGTACCCCAGCTGTCACACCCATCCAATTCGAGTATGCTTCCCCTAACTTCACCCGTTGACTACGACTCGACAGATAACTTCGCAAAAGGTTTACTGCTTTATCGCCCAAGCCATAGAATTTCAGTTTTTCCAAAATAAGTTCGTGTGGAAGACAATCGAAAGCTTTACTCAGATCCATAGCAACAGCCCCAATCTTATTATGTTTATCAAATTCTTCTTTCCAACGTTCCGTCAATGTTAGGAGTGCGCTGGGACAGCCATGAAATTTTCGATACGCAAACATAAAGGAATGAAAGATCGGCTCAAAGTGTTCCATCATTTGAGAATGTATAATCCTCTCAAACACCTTTCCGAAGGCAGGTAATACAGTGACTGGTCTAAAATTTGTTTTGTCCAGCACACTATCTTTTTTGTGATGAGGTGTGATCTGTCCTCTCTTCCAGGTGTCTGGGACTTCCGATTTTGAAATTACAATATTGATTAAATCACTTAGGGGTCTGGCTATGGTTGGTGACGATGCTTTTAATGCTCGTGGTGGAATAAGATCACATCCTTGTGCTTTATTCGCTTTTATGTTATCGAGTACATCCTTAACAGCATTCTGATTTGTCATTCTAAATATAAATTGATTTCCATTCATCACACTGTTTGTCTGTGGCATCCTTGATATATGGGATTGCTCTGTGAATGGACAGTGTTTTTGCAATATTAAACCTTTAGTTATATATGCAAAATACTCATTTAGTGTTTCTGTTACTTGTCTTTGATCCCTTATCACGTTCATTTTTTCCTTGAGAGTTATAAACTGTTCTGGCGACCCTTTATTAGTATGCATCAAGGGTCGTAATGCATTCCAGAAATCTCTTGGATTTCTCGTTCGTGAGTTACATAGCTGATCAAAATGATTTTTAATAGATTTACGACGCAAAGAGACCACTTGATTTCTTAGAATCCTATAGACTTCCCAATCAACCGACGATTTCGTTTTGTGATACTTGCGCTTTAAAGCGTTTCGCTTCCACATAGCCTTTCTTATGTCTGGAGTTATAAATTTTGATTTTCCCACAGCATTTCTACACTTTTTCAACCTCACTGGAGCATGATCATCCAGGATATCCTTATACATTTTCTCCCAAGCCCAGCAGACATCATCTACATCATAAAAAATATATGCAACGTTAAACGGTACGCTCTCTAGGTCTTTATTGAAAGCGTACTCATCAAAGTTTTTAAAACATCTTGTTTTGATGAAAGTTATTTTCTGCTTCATTACCCTTCCATTGAGTATTGTATACACAAGTTTATGATCACTCAAGCCTGTCTCCAGTGTCCCCGATTTTAATGCAAACGAAGGGGCATTCGTTGCTATTATGTCCAAGCAGGTTTCCTTGGTGTACGATATTCTTGTCGGTTCCTCTATAAGATTTTTTAAATCGTAAATGTCACAGATATCTAGCCATGCCCGCCCTTCTTTCCCATTATGTAGTGGGTGAAGAATATCACAATTCAAATCACCCAAACATATCACGTTTGGTCGGTTCGAAATT